TTTCATTAACTCTCCTGGCCATTATGTAAATTCTCTATTCTTTAAAAAAACTTAAGATTTAGGATCCTAAAATATTCTAGCAAGTCCCTTGAATCCCTTGACACTAAGCAGAAGATAAATTCCATATTTCTAGCAAATAAAGTAGCTTCTAGGGCAGAGCTCAAGATGCCTGAGCCATAAGTCCTAATGAAATATGAGTTGTATGAGACGTAATAAGGACCCTGGGGAGTGCTTTCTCCTTATTAAATTAGAAACCATCACCCTGACCCCTGTAACTGCTCATACCACAGCCTGCCGCGTGCTGTAACATGGATAGCTGGTGTTACCCTGGAAGCAGGTGACCCTGCGCACACACACTGCGTGTCCTTCTAGGGGACCAGTGTACCTGGGAGTAGTGGGCACTGAAGCCAGTCTGAGCCATTTCCATTTCAAACGAAGCCGCTGACTGGTCAGTCGTAGCTGTAACAGGAAAGTGTCACACGTCAATCACGAGGGCCCCACGTGCACAGCTGCCTTGCTGGCCACAGGCTCCAGGGAGCCCCCGGAGATGTCCCCCCAGAAGCTTTAACATGTCGGGGCATTTCCAGTCATGCATTTCTCAACTCAAGATTCCCGGGCAGGGTGGAGTAGAAGGCAGAGAAGGTGAGCAAAGGTCTCTGTCTCAGAAGCTTCTCGTTCACTTCCGCTCCTTGCTGGGCTAGAGGGGAACCTCCATTCCCACACTGCTAGGCTAGGGCTCTTAGGGTGCTTTGGGTCCATGTGGTTAAAGATGAATTGCTGCAGTGGGAAATCTCTGCTTTATCTTAGGAATTGAGAACCCTGCCTATGCTAAACTTAGGTGACATCTTAGAGGCCTAAAAAATTTCATTTATGGATTTAAGCAGATTTCCCAGCTCTGTCAGACCTACCCATATTTCAGGGCACAAATCCTCTGAGACTTCCATTATTTGATAAAAGGTTGAAGGAATCCTGCTTGCATTTGCTCACAGATGGGGGGGGGGCATTCTTTCAGACAGGGTTCCGGGCCGCAAGCCATCTGAACAGACACTTTCGGCTGTTCTGTGCCCATCCTGGAGCTCTTTACTGAAATGAGGGCAGCTCAGAGTGGTCTCTGGAAGCAGGCGGCTCCCAGACTCTTCTCTAAGTGTTCACGAGCTTAAAGCCACAACTTCCTGAGGGAACTGGGGGAATGTCGAGTTACTTGCTTCCAGGAGGGAGTTTCTGATTTATTTGGCCTTGAAGATAAGTTAAAAATAACATAATTTTTTAAAAAGTCAGCCTCCTTTCCAAGAGAAACAGAAAAACAATCAACTTTGTAGAATTAAACATGTTTACTATTTATTTACTGGCATAAAAAAAATAAATATAGCAGTGATTGACTTTTTATAGGACTAGATTAAGTGGAGCAAGCAATCAAGAATGCAAAGATCATTTTTAGTGTCTTGTATGATTTGCCCTCTAAAGGTTGGGAACATACTTTTATTTAAGATTGTGCTTTATGCACATGTTGCTTTAAGGTACCCTAAGTTCTGCGAGACCAGCAGGCAAGGGCGCAGGAGCAGCAAGCCGCTGCTGTCCTGCCTCTGGCTGGGAACAGGCAGAAAGCAGCGCTGTGACCTCTGCCCATTCCACTGGCCACACAGGAAGTGCCTGCTGCACGTCTGAGTCTCTGACATTCATCCCTGCCTGGAGCTGTTCCGGGTGAGCCAACCCTCTCACCCCTGGGCAGGCCCTGATGGGGAGCTTCAGCATCTCCTCAGCCCAGCAGGAGAAAGGGAGACCTCGGGCCACTTCCCAGTCTTTCCTGACAGGCCTTGAGCTCCTTGCTTCGCTAGGTGGCACTGTCCTGGCCGAGTGGACTTCCATAATTGCAGCTATTTACATCTAAAGATAAATGTTGACAGGAAATGGAGGCTTCCCAAGTGACAAAGAAAAGAACCACTTACAAATCTCATTTTGAAAGGAAAAGAATCAGTAGTCATCCTAGCTTTAGGTTAGCTTCAATAGGGGAGCAAAAGGTAAAGTGCCTTAAAAAATAATTTTGTCTGTAAGTACAGAGACTTTCTGCAGAGCTCCGGCACTCCAGTGAGGTACTTTTAAGCTCTGCTGCGGCCCGGTTAGAAAGAGCCTGAAAATCTTATTTCAGCCCGCCCTTGGCTCGTGTGCGCTCAGCCCCCAGACTGGGGTTCTGTCCACTTCTGGGCCAGTACTGCAGAACGGCTGCTGAAAGGCCAAAGTCATGTTGGCATGACTTGAACACAGAACACAGGACAACGGAGTTCTTAATAAGCCACAGCAACTTCAGTCAGATACAGAATCCTAGTCTTCTGTTTCTATGGGTACAGAGGAAACCCCCCTGGGGCCAAGGGAACCGGCCGGTGGGTGCCTGCGAATCCTGGATGCGGTGCAGCTAGAGGCGGACACACCCTCTCCACCTAGTGGAAACGGGGCTTGCTCCCTGGGACCCCAGGTCTTCAGAGAACGCGAAGGTGGAGACTGCAGAGAAGATACCAGTCTGCCCGGCATGACAGCCCTGCAGACTCTTTGTCCCAAGCTATCTAGGTGCAGAGAAATGTGCCAGCGGGAAATCCCCTAAGGAAGAGGCATCTTCACCGGCCAGTGACCCGCCGGGAGCGGAGCAGCGCAACTTGGCGCATTGTGCTGGGGCCATCAGTGTGCACAGCAAAGTGCAGTTGCGATAGGCAAGGAGTCCACGTAAGAGTCATACACACTGACTCTGAACTACAGATAACACCCAGGGTGAGAAGACACAGTCCTACCTTCCAGGGCAAATATTCTTTCTCCCAGAGCTTTCACAATAGTGACCAGGGCCAATTCATCGGAGACGTTGAAGAAATGGTTTTCAGTGGGTTTACTTGCGATCGACTTTATTTCAGCTACAAATTTTTCTGTGCTTAAATTTCCCCTGTTATAGCTGCCAAGAATCTAAGACATAACAAAAACAGCAAGAACATAGTTTAACTTCTGTGTATTAAATAAGGATCTCAAGTGCATTGGCAGTAAACCAGAGTGCGAGACTACCTTAGCGTAATGCACTTTTTATGAACGGCCATATTCAGGCACCGGTGCCTTTCAGAATACTCGCTGTTAAATAAGCACAGCCATTTGGTATGGGAAGCTGTAAAGGGAAATTCTGTCTTTTCCTTCTTCTGCAGTTCTGTCCCTGTTTATTAACAGCTGTATCTTTGAAATCTGACGGTTCAAAAGTAATGTTGTAGTTTCTCCATGTCATTGAAGTTATTCCAGCCCGTGACATCACCCTCTGCTTGCTAGCAGCGCTCGGCGCTGTTTGATCCTGAATGGGCAGCTGATCCTGAAAATCTCACTTGCCCTTCTAGCTCACACACCTCTGTACGCACTGTACATATATGAATACACGTTCAGATATACATGGGACTAGGCCATAAACTAAATTGCTTGTAGAAAATAAGTAACTCAGGAATTCCTTTTTGGAATTGAATACTAAGCACAGGA